TCTACGGGTAGCCGACGAAAATACACCGCTCACTACGAGGTTTGAGCTTGTCATGAGTCTCTCGTCTTACGAAAGCCTCGCAACCCCAAACCTTGATATGTGCCAACGAGGGACCTTTCCCTGTCCACATCTCGTGAGGTGTTTTGGCAACCTTCTTTGTAGGGACTAAGTTAAGGATATGGGCGGCAGTCTCTAAGGCATACCCCCAGAATGAGATAGGTAGCGAAGCACGACTCATCATGGAATGAACCATGTCCAGCAAGGTTCGATTACGCCTCTCAGCCACACCATTCAACTACGGTGTCCTGGGAGGTGTCAATTGCGAAACGATTCCGCATTCCTTGAGGTAGTCGTGGAATTCAAGACTTAGGTGCTCTCCCACCTCGATCAGATCGAAGCATCTTGATTTTCTTGCCCAACTGATTCTCCACTTCTTGCTTGAACTCTTTGAACTTTTCAAAGGTTTCTGACTTATGCCTGATTAAGTAGATATAGCCATATCTGCTATAATCATCGGTAAAAGTCACGTAGAAGCGGCACGCATCCCTTGTGGTGGACCTTAAAGGTCCACATACATCTGTATGTATGAGATCCAATAAACCCTCACCCCTTTCACAAGAACCAGTGAAGGGTGACTTGGTCATCTTTCCAAGTAAACAAGACTCGCACACGTCATCGTCCCTAAGGTCGAATGACTCCAACACTCCATCCTTTTGGAGTTGGGCTATGTGTTTCTTGTTGACATCTCCAAGACGACAATGCCACAAGCATGCTTTATCCAAACTATTGGAAGAATCAATACACAACACATCATTTCCTAAGTTATCTACAACCATCATAGTTTCATATATTCCATTACAAGGCAATGCTTCAAAATAGAAAACACCATTAAGATAAGCATTAATAGAACCCTTTTCATTATCAAATGAATATCTAAACCCTTGTCTATACAAACCATGAAAAGAAATGATGTTTCTTGCCATATCTGGCGAATAGCAACAATTATTTAAATCTAATCCTAATCCATTACTAAGCACTAAAGAGTAAACTCCAATCTTGGTGACAGGCGACGATCTTCTGTTTCCCATGATCAGGTTTATCTTCCCATGCTCCACATCTCTATTTCTTCGTAGGCCCTGCAAGTCAGAACAAAATGTGAAAACCACATCCTGTATCAAGAACCCAAGAAATAGCATGCGATGAATCATTAGATTTAATAGTGTAAATACATGCGTAGGATGGCTTGATCTTTCCATCCTTGATGTCTTGCACATATTTCGGGCAGCTTCGTTTCCAATGCCCTATTATGTGGCAGTAATGGCACTCTGCCTCCGTGGGTTGGAGTTGGGTTTAGCAGAACCAGCTTTGGTTCCACTAGAAGAGGTACCATCATGGGACTTTCCCTTATGGTGGCTCTTTGAGGGATCCTTCCTCTTCTTACCCTTTCCTTGCCTAATTGCCCAGACTGGGGCAGCAGCAGGAGTTGGAGTTGATGCAACAGATTATCTTTGAGGTTGCTCTCAGCAGTCCTTAGTAAGCCCTGAAGCTTGCTCAAAGAGACCTCCCCCTTGTTCATATGGTAGGTCATGCAGAACTGGTTATAGCAGGGAGGCAAGGAGTGAAGGATGATGTCAATTGCCAGCTCTTCATCAAAGTTAACATTCAACTTTAGCAGGCGATCAACATATCTCTGCATCTTTTGCAGATGAGCAGTAAGGGACTCTCCATTACCCATTTTGGCAGTGATCATCGAAGTGATGATCTCGTACCTTTCTTGCCTAGTGCTTTGGTGGTACCGGTCCAGCAGATCTTGATGCATCTCATAGGGGTACATGTCCTCATAGGACTTCTGGAGTTCTGCAGTCATAGTCGCCAGCATGATGCAATGGACTTTCGTGGCATCACGCTCATGGGCCTCAAAGGCAGCGATCTCTTCAGCAGAGGCAGTGTTGATGTTGATTTACTTCAGCTTCTCATCGAGGAAATACTCTTTGTCCTCGTAACGAATGACCATTCGGATGTTGCAGATCCAATCATTGAAATTGGATCCATCAAAGATCACTCTCCCACACAAGTTCATGAGTGATAACGAACCAGAGGAATTTGAGTCGGACGCGTTGTTGTTGACGTTTGACATCTGAAATAGAAAAGAGACAAGTTTGATTAGAAATGAATCCCCAATTAAACACCCAAATGAGAAATTAGGGCTAGGATCCAACAACATTATTTACAAATTAGAAGAGGGATGTCGTAATGTAACAAGCAAATAATTTGAAGGTAAGTGAATGACGATTCACTAATTTCCACCATGAAAAACAAATTAAAGATAAGTTTTAAATGTATCGAAAACTCCTAGATATTTTGAGATTCATTGAACTTTTCAATGGCATGTTTAAATCTCGATATGCCCCTCAAGTTTGTGACTGGGATGCCGAGGATCACAAAGCGGGTGTGAATAACCATACAAATATACATGGTGCCCCCAATGTTACAGTCACCTATTCGACGTGTCGGTTAACCACACACGCTCCATCGAACTATGACAAACATCGAGTCACCCTTTTCCACCTTGGGTTAGAGCCCAATTAGTGTGTCGGTTAACCACACACGCTCCACTAACGTCTTAGCAGGGGTACAAAGTGTCATTTCATGGAATTGCATCAATTCACTTTTGCCGAAAGTAACTAAGACTGGGAATTTTTGAAAAAGCATTTAGTTACTTTATAATTCATTATACTTTTAATGAGGAAATGTTTGCCCTATCCTACCCGTTCGGCTAACGACCTCCACCATCAAGGAAGCGGTGGGTGAGAGTGGACACCTTTAAACGACCATTTTATAGGTCATAACCTTATACCCTCCTTATAGATCGGCTTCGTGAATGGGGCTACTAACGGAACTAGCATTTAAGTTAGAATTATAATCGATATATATATATCTATATATATAAGATATATAGATATATCGAATATATATATATATATATATTAATCTTATAATAATAAAGTATAAGGTTGAATTTTAAACTTGTAAAATTCTAGGGTTGAAATTTAAATAATTCAAATTAAACTTTTAATTAAATTTAAATTTCAAAACTTGAGGGCAAATTTTTTGAACTTTCAACACACATAGGATCAAATAGCAAATAATTTAAATTAAACATTTAATTTTAATGATTATCTAATTTGATCTATTCTATTTTAATCACAAGATCATTCATCAAATAATTCAAATAATCAAATTTTATCACATAAGGAATTTATTATTCATTTAATTGGTAATTATCCTTTGTTTTGGTAAGGATAATCATATAATAACAATAAAAATTGGATTTTATTATTTAAAAACAGTTATGGTAATTATCCTTCAACAAAACAGCAAGAAATCCCGACATATCCTCTGTCTGACAGCTAAACTCGCCGAGTTCCCAATGTGGACTCGTCGAGTTCCTCATTTGGACTCGAAAAGTTCTTCAGTCAGAGGGCCAAAAAATGAATTTCAAAGCATGAATGAAATACTAGGCATCAAATACAATAGAAACCAATCAAGGCTCTGATACCACTGATGAGTTTGAGCCAAAACAACATCCTATGTGCTCATGTAAACCCTAAAGCTTGGATCTAGGCTTCTCTATTGTACATGCAATTCATCCAAGACTTAAGAACCCTAGATCTAGCATGTATATTTCGAAAATAACATATGAAAAACAGATCTAGATGATTACCTCTTCAACAATGGCTTGAATCTTCTTGTCTTGGAGCTTAGAGTCACAAATGACACTCCTCTAATGGCTTACAAACACCATACAAGCAAGAGGGTGATATTGGAGAGAGGAGAGAGGCATAATTTCGGCTATGGAACTCTCTAGGGTTTCAAGTGGCCGAAATATGATGCCCAAGGGGTTCTATTTATACTTGTGCTGCTAGGGTTTCAGTCAAACCCCTAATAGACAGCTTAGGCCTTAAGAAATCCAAGGAAGCTTCTGGAATAGGGCCCTTATGGCCGAAATTAGGATGGACACATCCCTAATCTCGTCCATGCCTAGTCCATAAGGCTTCTCAGCCCAATATCCAACTATCACACATTTGACAGTTTAAGTCCCCGTTATTTAATTAATATCTTTCAGCCACAGAATTAATTCTTAATTAATTCTTGTCTAATATTAATTAAACTATATGATTTATCCTTTAATATATTATTCTCATAATATATTAATGAACCATAATAACCTCTCTCTTCATAAATCATCATATCTAGTTGCTTTGGTGAAGGCAACCCAAAAGGACCATGCACAACTGGGTCAAATACTTACCAAATATAGTTACGGGCTTAGACACTAATCCAACACTATTGTGGGCCACTTTTTGTATTATTGGTAAGGAAATTTCTTGTAATTAACACTTTTATTTATATTATTATAAGAAAACTAATTAATCATAATTTTGTTTACATAAACAACTAGCTTATTTGGAGTTTATGAGAAATGATAAGAGTGAAAAAAAAAAAAGACAAATACATGCACTACATTTTTGGGATTATGACATGATGTTGAAAAGGGAAAACGTTGAGTTAAAGAGTGATGACTTTGGAACTTTGGAATGGAATGATGATGTTAGAGAGAATGATAAGAATCCGCACCGATGAAATGAAGATGTAAACTCAATGTAAGTTAATAATCTATATAATTAAAAAAATTATGAAGCTGTATTATAGATATATGTTGTAAAATTGTAGTTAAGATGAATTCGTAATGTGATTCACATTGTGAATATAAATGTGTATTTTATTACTTTTTCTATAATAAATTCACATAGTGAATATGTAATTTATTAAAATGCATTAAAAGTGTGATACCTCATCGATGCATTCATATTGTAAAGCAGTAATTTATTATAGAAAAAAGTTAAAAAAAATCATTGTTATTAACATTTTTTTATTTCATTTTGTAGGAATTGGTATTCAAAGTAAAAAAGAATTATAAAAAACTAGGGAATGATAAAATGAAGTTTGAAAAGTTAATTGAGTTTTCAACAACAAAATTCACAGAAAGCGATGAGTTGAAAGATATGAAGAAAGTCTTTGAACAAGAATTCAATTATAAAAGTCAAAATGAAGATGAAAAAAATGTGATGAATGAAGATGATGGAAAAAGTGACGATAATGAAGATGAAGAAAAAAGAGATGAAAATTTGATTGAACATGAAATACCTGAAGATGGAGAAAGGGATGTGAATAAGGGTGATATATATAAAGATGTGGATGTAGAAACTACACCAACAAAAAAAATAAAGAATCAACCAATCATGGTAACACCAGGAAATTTGTACAATGATCCAATAGTGCACAAGATTGCTGATTCTGTTCAATGTATTTTAAATTTTGATGATAGTGATGATTTTGTCAATGTAGAAAGTTTTAGAGAACAAATAAATAAAAAAACAATAATAGATGATAAAAAACAAATACTAGAAAATCATCAATGCCTAGTTTTTCACTTGGACTTGGTCTTGGTCTGACACAAGAGTTTCAAGAAGGAGATGTAAGCAGTGAAGATGAACAAGAGAAGAAAGAAAGAAAAGATGAAAAACTTGATGAAGAAGAAAGTTATGATTCAGAAGAAACAAAATGTGACAATAATATCTTGGGAATTAAAGATGATCAAGAGGGGAGAAGAGATGTAGGAAAAAGATTAAAAAAAAAACCATCACTGAAGGTATCCTCTCCTTATAATCAAAAAGAGGTTTGTGCATCGAAATTTGTAGATCCAAATGAAGTAAAAGTATCAGATATATTTTTTTCCAGAATTGGTAATAGCAGGTAATAATTCATGTTATCTTTTCTTTAAATACAATAGTATATAAATACAAATATAAATTAATTTTCTGTTAACTGATTTTTTGTTTTATTTGATTACAAATTAATTGAGAAGGTATTTCAAACTAAGAGAGGTTATGTGCTTGGAAGAGGAAGGATTGAAACCATACATGCAGGATTATGGGTACATGCACATGTCATTGATGCTTGGACTGATGTTTTGAACTATGAAGAAAAGATTAAATCAAATTCTACAGTGAATCAATATTTCTTTGATACATCAATGGTGGTAAGTTAATTAAAAAAATATATATCATTATAAATGCTATAGTATTTATAAATTTTAAATTTATGTAGTAATTTATAGATTGATAATGTTGATCATATAATAAATAAAATTTTCAATAGTTCTGAATAAGTAATAAAACTCACATAGTGAATCCTATTATGATTCACAGTGTGAATGATTTTAAATTTAAAATGTACCTTATTGTGAATTTAACAATTTAGTCTTTAAAGTTTGGTGTATATTTAAATTTTTTGCGGAGACAGTTCATATTTGACAAAAAAATCCCTTTCATTGAAAGATCTGATAAATTTGAGTCAAATATCAAAGATGCAATTAAAAATGACAAAGAACTTTTGACATTTGAAAAAGTTCACTAGGCAATAAATTGTTCTTTTTGTTGAATATATTACATCTTTTAAACAAAGTTTAACAATTTAAAATATTAAAACATGTATTTTTCCCAGTTCATCAGAAAAATCACTTTTACATCATCTGCATAAACTTATAGGAACCAGCGGTTGATGTTATTGACAATAGGAATTCAGTTGCAAATTTTCAAGGGCTTATCGTGATGCACCTAATGAATTAGTAAGAATAGTAAATTTACATTCTAAATATAAATATTAATAGACTGATAATTTAAATAAAATAATAATTATAGAAAATGACAATTTTTTTGTAGAAACTACTTTTTAGTAGGTACGTGATGAGTGTCAATCACAAATCAGCTTTAATTTTGGAGGGTGTTGAACCAGAAAGGGTGAACATGAATTGGCGCACAAGTGATAATCATGTTGACTGTGGAGTTTTTTGCATGTGTCATATGGAGACATATATGGGAGATAAAACAGTAAATTGGACATGTGGGTTGCCAAAAGAATCAAAATAATAACAAAGTGTGTTAAATGATTTACGCATTAAGTATTTGACAAAGATACTATTGAGTGACGCAAACACATACAGGTCAAAAATCATTGGACAAACAACTAAGTTTGCAAAAAAGACTAATGAAGAATTACAATATTTGCTCAAAAGGGATGAGAAAAAGGGGAGAAAGGATATAGTACTTCAATGATTAGAAAAAGAAGTGTAAAACTTAAAACTTTAGTTTTCTATTCATATTGGTATAAGTTTAAATGCACTTTAATTTCTTTAAGAACATATAAATGCTTGTTATGTTACATTTTGATGTGAATTTCTATATCAAATATAATGAACTTTACTAATACTTAAAATATGTTTATATTTTCATGTGAATGTCTACATGTATGTTATAAAATTACATGTTTTATTAAAGATATGTTATTGGCATGTGAGGGGGGAGAGTGGGTATATTTCTACTTTGAATAAAGAATTGAAAGTACATTGTCATTTCATGCATTTACTCTATTTCTTTTGGTCTAAATGAATAAATGATAATGTAATTAATCAACTATACAATAGATGTAGAAAATTTACATTGTTTATATATAGTAACATTAACCTTGTGAAAATTTTATATGTGAGATTCACAATGTGAATTACAGTACATATTATAACATGGATATTTTATATGTGAGGTTCACCATGTGAATTACGGTACATATAGATCATTAGAACAATTAATAGTTGAGATTCACAATGTGAATTAAATTACATAAAGACGATCTTTAACATGAAAATTTTATATGTGAGCTTAACAATGATAATTAAAATGCATAAATTAAATCATTAACATGAAATTTTTATTAGAAAACATTCAAAAAACTAACAATAAAAAAATATCTTTAACCAAAAACAATAAATTCGAAAAAAAATTATATTCTATTATTAGAAATAAAGTATAAAACAATGAATATCAAAGTTAACATGAATATTTCAACATTTCTATGCATTGAATGATCATTACAAAAATAAAATCTTATTTTAGTAGTCTTAAAAAAAATTAGAAACAATCAACCTTCTGTAACCTCGGATTCTAAATCAGACTTCTTTAACCTCAAAATGCAACTCCTAGCATTGTGATTTGGTTTATGACATAAACTGCATAATCTAGAACCCTTTTTAGATGTCTCAATTGCTTTCTCTCTAGTGCTCTTGATTCTTTTACCACTGGCCCATCCCTTGTTTCTGATCCCCTGTGGATTATGAATGTTGATAACATCAGGTACTGCAGCTCCAATAATTTTTTCAATGTGAACCGATCTACTCGAAGATGCCCTTGATGAGGTACATATAGGAATACCACTATCAACCTCTTGAAATTGCTTTATATATTTAGCCAACTCGTCCTCATTATTTTCTATCTTGTTAATGGACAAACGAAGAATAGCATAAGCATCTTGAATCAAACATTCATTTTTACTGCCTTTATGAGAATACAAGTATTTTTTTCTCAACAACCCATCAGCTATGATATCTTTTCCCCATCTCCTCAAAATGAAATTTGATGGAATTTATGTTGGATATAATGTCTAAGTCCATAACTATATTTGGTATGTACTTGACCCGACCCGGCATGGTCCATTTGGGTTGCACTTCACCCGAACAATTTATGGATAATCGTTTGAGAATAGTATAAGTTATGATTTATTAATATATTATAAGTTCTAATATATTAATATAAAATCATATTATTTAATTAGTGTTGATCTATAATTAATTTAGAATTAATTTAGAGATCAAAAGTATGACTAATTAAATATGGGCTCTTGTATTTATATAGTGTGGGCTAATGCTTATTTGGAATGGGCTAGGCTTGCATGGAAAGTCCATGGATACTCCATGGAGCTTTAACCCATGGATCTCATAGAAATGTAAAGACATGAGTATTAGGGTTTACATGGATGTAACCCTAATCCACCACACTATATAAAGGAGGCTTTGGTTCTTGAAATAACACTAGTTGATGTGTGTAAAACTAAGAGGGGCCGATTTCAAGAAGTTGTGACTATTCTCTCAAGTTTCCAAGTTTGTGGTGATTTGTGACTTCCATTTGAGGCATCCACATTATTGGTTCTAGGCTCTCAAACTCCAAGCAATCAACTACTACTACAACGTAAGTAATTCTACTAGTTTTATTTGATTCAAGTACCCCATGTCATGCTAGTTAGGATAAGAACCTTGGAAAATAAGTTATTTGCATGTATCTTAGTCAAACATAGATCCAAGGTTTTTAGGGTTGCATGTACACCATAGGAGTGTTAGAATGCTCAAAACCCTTCAATTTCATCATACTCTTTCATATTTACTATGAAAAACATATGATGACATAACACTCCTTCCTGGACAAAAAGCATGCAGCTACAACTGATGCTAATGCTATCACCCCTTATACTAAATACAACCTACAAAATCATCATTTATAAACAAACTAATATGTGAATAAGAAATTCTATCTCATACCATTCGATAAAAATTATACAAAATAACATTGATTCACATTATTAATCAACATTAGAAATCATAATACTCTAACATAAATATGTACTTCAATTAAAATTCACAAAAAAATACATATTCCATACTAATCTAATGAAAAGTACAAACCAATTTATAAATCTATGAGAATTAACACTGTGAATTGGCAAAACATCCTACATTTACAGTGTGAATTTTTAAACTACATTTTTTATTTAATAAACTCTATTAGGACAAAGAGACATACCTTGTAATGAGTATTAGGATAATGAGAAGGAAAACTATTTCGATAAAAATCATCAGAATCTTCATCCTTATTCACATTTTTATCAATCAACTTTTTTTTCTTCTTATCTCTCAAAACATAAACTTCATTTTCATCTTCAATAACTACAGATTCTTGAACACAATAAAAAACGGATTTGTATAACTCTTTCTGAATGTCCAAGAAAATATTACGTGTATAAATTTCCGATGCATGCTTTTCAATAGCCAAATGAGTCCTTAGCTTTGGGTAGTAGTTGTGGAATGATAATCTAATAAATATTGATGATGTCTTTGCTTCTCCATTGCACTATCAAATGACATCATGGACTTCACTAAATTTGATTTATGATGCAAAAAATGTGAGAAAGCATAATTCAGGCTCTCTGGTCTTGAAGTAGTTCACATCAAACCAGAAAGTTCAAGATCTCTCATATACGCCGGAATCCATTAATCCCTTATTTTAAAAACAGTCTTTAACCAGTCAACTTCTTTAAGATGAACCTTATCTAACATTGTTGACCAGAAACTTTCAAAATCTTGTGGAGAACATTGATGATTCCATACAATATAAAAAAACGTCTTTTGGAAGTCTGGATGGTTATAAACATCGATAGGAATCTAAAAAAAAGTAACACATAAGAATCATTGCATAAGTTGAATAGTTGATGTAGTTCATAGTAACATAACATTTTTTCACAGTGTGATTTATGATTTAGATTTGTTTCTTTCATCATATGCAAATTTACATTGTAAATTCACAGTGCGCTTTATGATCTAGATGGTTATAAACATATATAGGAATCAAGAAACAAAGAATATACCTTTTCCTCAAGTTTTTGAGTGATGTGCCACATGCATATTCTATGCTTGGATTCAGGAAAAACAAAACTAACAACTTTCTTCATTGATGAATCCTGATCTGTTACAATCATCATGGGTGGCTTGACAAATGCTTTACGAAACTCTTCAAACAACCACACCTATGCATCTTCTGTCTCACGAGCTAGTAAACCAACAGCAAAAGTAACACAACGCTTGTGGTAGTCTACTCCAGTAAAAAGAACAATTACCATAGAATACCAGATTTTTTTTTTGATAAGTATTATTAAAAAGAACAAATACCATAAAAAGAACAAATAAGGATTAGGAATTACTTGTTTGTTTGATAAGTAGCATCAAAAGATAGTACATCTCCAAAGTCCTTATAGTTGGCTTTCGAAGTATCATCAGCCCAAAAAACTCTAGTAAGATGATCATTAACATCTGTTTGGACCTCAATGAAAAATTAGAGAAACACAATTTTCTGTTTGTCATTATATCCACAACCATTTGGGAATCTTTGACACCAATTTTAGAATTGAAATATCTATGAAAAATTTTGAAGTCGACTGCAGTCCCTCCCCTAGAATCAAATCCACCCTTCATACTACTCACCAAGTTATAAGATTTTGAAGCACCAATGTCACAAGCACCAATATTATGTATAAAGGATTCATGAAGATAATTGATTGTCCTATTAATCCATAATAAGTGCAACTGATCTTGAGCAACAAGTTCATGGTTGTGATCTTCAACAAACACATAAATGTAGAACATTAAAGAACATCAGAGATTCTTGAACTTTGAAATAGCAGTGCATCCGTTCTTCTTAGAAGATGTTCTCTTTTTCTTAACATCTGAAAAGTTCACATTAATATTTTCGTTCTTGAACGACTCTGTGAAACCATATCTACTACATGTAGAATATCTAAGACAAATTGTGCCATCATTTTATCTTTTTTGACTTGACATACTCACATCAAAACCAGATTCTTGACCATAAGTCTTGTAAAAGTCAAGACCAATGTCCAACGAATCAAACAACAATCCTTTGAAAGGCTTCTTATGTATCAAACTTATCATAACGAACAAGCTTAAAAGACT